GTTGTGTAGAGAGAGAGTGTGTGGACGCTGTTACTGGGAGCTGAAGTGGAGGGGAGATAAAGGTGTGTTAATATCAGTGTCATATAAGAGCATCAGTAGAAAGGGAGGAGGTGAGTGTGTGTTTGGATGTAATGATCAGTCCTGGAGTTTGATCTGCTTATCCTCCAGTTATTCATTCATACACAATAACATACAGACTGCTCTCTCTGTGCAGCCCCTCAGCAGCAGAATAGGAGTGTTTGTGGATCACAGTGCAGGAACTCTGTCCTTCTACAGCGTCTCTGACACAATGAGCATCATCCACACAGTCCAGACCACATTCACTCAGACGCTCTATCCTGGGTTTGGGTTTGGATCTGGATCATCAGTGAAACTGTGTTGATGAATCAGAATAGACTGACGAGAGATTCTACCCATAATGCTTTGAGCTGCATGATGTATCAGTAACAGTGAGATGTTATAGAGCCTCTTCTTTTCTCATCATGACATTAATACTGCAGCTGAACTTCTGTCAGTGAAATAACATGTCAGAATAAATGTGTGTAATAAATCCTCATACAGACAGTAAGATCTGTGTGTGTGTGTGTGTGTGTGTGTGAGTGTGAGAGAGAGAGTCTGCTGAGTGAACATGTGTTTCTGTGCTTTTCTTTGTTTGTGCTGATTGAAATTAGTCATTTAGTTTTTAATTCAGTGTCACATCATTATTTTATTATTACTATCAAAATTACCTTTCAATTCAAATGATCACAGTCAATAAATCATTGTCATTATTAGGGTTGGGTACCGAAACCCGGTGCCAATATGGCACTGGTACCTATGCAACCGGTATGTACTAGAACCGAATCAGAACGCAGGTTTCGGTGCCACTGAACTGCTTGAGCAATCGATTGAAATATTTGTTCTTTGGTTCTCCGAAATGGATATGAGGCACCGCACGTGAAAAATAATTTCCCGACTGAGAAAATTCACGAACGCAAGTCGGAAAGCGCTAATAACACAAATCCAACACATCTGTGTAGCAACGAGAGTGTCCATGTTGTTTTCACATTCCGACTTAAAAGCACAACTCGGGAAATGAGAGCATCCGAGGAGCGCGTGAATGCAGTAATAAGCGTTTCTAAACCCGTTGTCCAACAAAAGAGAACACTATAATGTTTTTACTCCACAACTGCTTCCTTTTGTGATCTGATGTGGCTTCTTGTCACAGAATGAGGCAGAAAATATCTTCTATACTGTAAAAAGCATATGGTAAAAAGGCTATGTCGATTAGCAATGGATTATAAATATACTCAATTATGATGAAAATACCAAAGACTGCTTGAATAACACAGATAAACTATACATTGTCGCAGTCGAGTGTTTATTGTCTTCAGTGGTGGCGCTAGGGCGGGGCTTTACGGGGCTATAGCCCCATCAGAAACTAGTTTAGCCCCGGCACAGGCCCCCCAAGGATTTCCTAATGATGTTCCTGTTTTTTGCTGTCACTTTCATTTACATTTAAATATAAACATTAAAAACCTAAGAAAAAGAAGTGCCTAATATGTGGCCTATAAACAATTGATATTATGGGGAAGGGGTCAAGCAACGCACGCAAGCAACATGCAAACTGTGCTCAAGAGTTACGCCGGTGAACGTCAGTCAGTTCACTTTAGAGAAAGTGAAAGTAAAAAAACTGATGGAGCTTTCTAACACTGCGTTAATGGCGCATAAATCCTCTTTATATTGTCAATTTTTGATGCTTTTGACAATATCTCTGGCTATCTCAGCACGGGGAGGTTATCGCGGGGCCCCCATAAGTGCTGCCCGTCTGCTATGCCACTGTGCAGAAATAGTTGCATGAATTGTCGGCACTTTATCTAATGTAGTAAAGATTTTACCATGTTTTCCTGCCAGTTGGCATTGAGAGTGACTGACACTTGATGGTCAGAAAAAATGACTAAATAGATAGTGTAAAATAAAATAAAACAATGAAAAAGAAAATAATCTCTACTTTCTCTCTTTTCTATGTGCGTTCATAAGTTTTATTAATTTGTAAGTGTCATATTTGGCAGTTGACATTATAAGTTATATTACTAATAACAGTGGCATATGAGAAGTTTATACCACAGAAATTTGCCTTTTTCAAAGCTGCTGTATAAAAAAAACACAAGGTGGCTGAATTTGGATGCTATTTAGATAGCTGAAGCTCATAGACGTTCATTACTTTCACTCAATTTAGTTTTTTAGCACCCCCTCTGAACTGTTAGAACTGGAGCTGCCACTGATTGTCTTTGTTTTATCATTCAAAACGTTTATATCTTCTGTTTACTCAGTTACAGCAATAGCAATGCCCTTGTCCATATTAGGGATTTCCTGAGATCTATTACTTCTGTGATGCACATGTTGAGTCTCTGTGCGAGGGCGCCCTCTGGCGTCCAGTATGAATGAAACAGACATTAAATGTGTTTATAGCACTCAATAATGGCCAATCCATCCTATTTGGGGTATTTATTTATTTATGTTTTAAGTATCAGTTCAGGCACTGTTTAGGCACCGGTTTTAAAAGTATTGATTTGGAACCGGTATCGTAAAAAACCCAAACGATACCCAACCCTAGTCATTATTCACCTCATGGAGCTTCGACCCTTTCAGCGTTTTGTGTTCTTCTGTCTTCTGGTGTTTTTATTGTCCTGCATTTAGTTAACCATGAAATACATTTTTATTTTTAAGTTACAGCTTGTTAATAATGTGTGTTAAAATGTTCAAGGTAATTCAAGATAATTCAAGTTAATAAATGTTCAAGTTAATTCAAGGTTAATAGTCTTGTGCTTTTTGATATTCATTTGTCACCCCACATTTTCAAAATGCTTAATGTAAAAAAATTTTTTAGCATGACATAAAAAAATGAACTAACAGTTTTGTGTGCGTGTGTGTGTGTGTGTGAGAGAGAGAGAGAGAGAGACTTGAATTTTAAGCCCCTTTTATTTAAAAACACTTAACATATACCTACATATTCATAAATAGGCTATAAATAAAAAAAATATTTTAGAATTTATAACATTATTTCATAACCACTTTCTTCACTTGGTTGACATAAAATACTTTCAGTACCCCAGAAAGAAAGAAAAAATAGTCTGTATCATTTACTTATTCATAAAACTCATACTCCAAAATTAACCTACTTTTTACCAAAGCCTTAAACATATGTAAAGCATCGATTCCTCCAAAAAGAAGTGTTTTATTCAATTGATTCAAATGTGCCATGTATCTATTTGTTGTTATTATCCAATGTGAAATCCGCCATTGTAAGTCTCCAATCCTTTTTTCAATTGGTTTCTTATATAAGGACCTCCAACTACCTTTTGAAGAGGTGCCTGACTCAACATATACAA